TGATAAAAGACAGGGAGAGCTCATCCATACAGCTGCAGGTTTCATATCCACAGTGTGAAGCTGGACTGTGTTATCTAAAGTGCACGCAGGAACAGCCAGTAGTGGACAGGAGACACCTTGGGCTTTAAAGAGGGGAGATATAGCCTCCAATGGCCCCAGGGGCACCTCCGAGAGGGAGCAAAGTTTGACTCATGGACGGCAGCAAAAAGACAAGCAGAACTGGAGCGATCCAGTCCTCTTGGCCGTTTAAACCTGACCAGCTGTCAGTCCATGCGGTGATAGGTGAATTGACAATTTAAGAAGCTGTTATTAACATCAATTTCATCTTCTCCTGCCACTTGAAGGAGACTTACTGTCTGTAATTTTATACAGATTTCCAGTATGGCCACATCATCAGCATCAGTCAGCGTGGCTTAAACTCCCTTTGTGTCTGATTGTTAAGCAATCAGAACCCACCTAGACAAGCAACGATGGTTAGGGAGGTTAAGGAGGCTTTAAAAGTGATTTCTTCCTCTCCCATCACTCGGATTACGTAAAGGCAACATCTATTTCATCTGGAGGACAAACACAGATGAGTTTACTTGTGAAAGTCACCCCATAGCTCCTACAGCAGCAAACGACCACTATCATGTAACGCAACAGTGTAATGATCACACAAATGCAAATTTAAAGATCTGTCAAACTGATTTGGAAATATGATGTTTTGTTAAAGCAATAAAAGACATGTCATCTTCCATGCAGGGATAAAAATACGAAGGGATGATAGAAACTGTGCATTACATGAATAGATGAACGGGCAGAGATGATGTCTCAGAGGACCAGATAGTTTTCTAAAGATGGAACACTTGAAATGAGCTTCAATTATTAATTAGCAAGAAGCAGAAGAACAGCTGAAAAAAGGGAATGGAAAGGGGGGGGTAGTAAAAAATAATTACAAGACTTCAGCCATGCTAAAAGCTCTGTTGTAGCCCCAGCAGAACTTTAGAACTTAATGCTAATTAGCAATGCTAACATGCTCATGATGAAAATCAAAGGTTATTTTTTAACAGTACAATAAAAAACATTTTACTGTCCCTGTAGGGAATGCATCTTTGTCGGATAAGTGAAAGACAAAATGTAAAACGTTTTTTTTTTTTGTTTTCACTGTTATCAAAGCTAAGGATGTAAGATAGCTAACATTTGCTATTTGGTGCTAAATACAAAGATTATTTTCTAAGTATTTGGTGAAAACAAGGTGCCGGTAATTAGGTATAGTATTCATTCCACCTGCTGCTGTTTTAGGAGCTCGATGTAGAGTAAGCCTGCTAGCTTAAAAAAATCAATGGTGTCTGTATGGATTGGTAGGTTTTGGCTGTTTAGTGATAACTAGAGTCTAAAAATGAAAAAAAAAAAAAAAAAAGTCAATTAGCTGAACAATGCCAGATTCCCATGTATGCTACTTCCAGTACATGTTTGTTTTTAGGGCATAAATGAGCAGATTCAACAAAGTTATAACAGGGAAATCAAGATGGAGAGGCATGCTAAGCAGCAACAATTTCTTCATTTTCCCTAGACTGTGGTATAAGGGGAAGTTTCAACTCTATTTTTGCACATTTACATTTAATCTTTCATATTTAAGACTAGTAATGCTAAATTAAATCCTGGTTTTATTCCCATTCTTAGTTTTGATATTTTTAGTGCTTATTTACTTTGTATTTAATATTATATTGTGTTTATATTTGCTAATATTGTGTTTTTTTGCTCATATTGTGTGTTTGGACAACCTGCTGCTGCAACGCCACAATTTCCCAGTTTGGGATCAATAAAGTAATTCTATTCTATTCTATTCTATTTCACAATAAAATCCAGAATACAAGAGCCTGAACAACAGGACATAGAGCCTGTAAAGCAAGAAGGAGATGCCCACCACAAGCAGGGAATGAGCAGAGTCAGCAGGATTTATCCATTGAAGTACGTATAACTGACAACCCCATCAAATATTTACTTTTCAGTCTGGATCAAAATGGGGAAATGTCTTGCTGTTTTAGGGCCATGCCGCTAGCGAGGCTAAAAAGTGAATTCCACAAACTAATTTGTCTTATACTGTAGATTGGGCTGCATCCATTTGCTAGCTAAGAAAACGTTGGAGTGTATTGAGCTAAAGAATGACACAGTAACATCCAAAGGCCACTGACACCAAATAGTACCTTTGAACCTACATTCATGGCTCATTACTGATATTTCCCCCCAATGGCTCCTAAGACTTATCTAGATGACAGTTTTGTGTGATTGTAACACAGATATTGTGATTATCATACCCGCCTTCAGGTATGACTGCAGAGGATTATCCTGTCAAACATTTAATGACCTGAATAAAAGAAAGAGGTGATGCAGTAAGTGTATTTCACTTGCTCTGGGTAGGACAGGAGTTGTTTCATCTTTAGGGGACAATTAACTGTGTGTCAAAAACCAGGCAGCCATGCAATGCAAGCTACAGTCCTTAATCATAGAGAGGAAAGGGGGAAAAAAATCGAGGGATGAAATATGCTATCTATTAATTGTTAGTTACAACATCAGAGCAGTTAAGTAATCTTGCTCCACAGCTTAACTGCATCTCCCAGCACAGTTGTGCTTCACATCAAGGCCTAAGGTTCTCTTGGTGCCACTCATATTCATCTACCTGACTTTTTCTGTCTGGTAAGCATGCCAAATATAGCAGGCAAAAAAACCCCCAAAACAACAGGATCAGAAGCCTGTGTGTGAGTTTGTGCATGCACGGTATGTGTACAGCATACTTCTGCTCCTCCAAAATCTTCTCCACATATTCCTGAGAACATTTTTGCAGCTATTGGATTGTTTTGCTTCACATCTTCTTTATCAGGGTTGAAGAGAGACAGGGAGAGAGATAATTCTGCAGCAGCTACACTGTATGAACAAGAGACAAGCTCCTTCCACCCTGAGCACTCAGCCTCTCTAATGGATAAATACATCACACTCACCTTGTCTAACTGCCTACACAGTTAACTTAATAGTTTTGCAACGGATAAAGCAATATTTAAGCTGTTTCAACTCTTACCTGCTATATATTTCACACAGGATCTGCCCACACTTTGAAATATTTTTATCTCCTCACCCTCTTTGTTCTCTCAGTAAGATGCTGATATCTTTCCGCTGACAGAGGCTCAGGCCTTTGGGATAAAGCTGACAGTGTTTTCCCAGGCGGCTGAGCATATTGGCGGCCATCTGCCTCTCTGCAAGCAGAGGCTTCACACCACGCCAGGCTGCACACCCACAGAGTCCAGACCGACAAGCTCACTGCCCTTGGAGACCCAGCACCTCTCTATCGTTTGGCCTTTGTGACATCTTCAGCTGATGCGCAACACTGAGGTTAAATATAAGAAATTAAATGCGAAACCAATTAATTCAAAGTCAATTATGTTAAGACCATAAACGATTATTTCCTTGGAGGGGAAAAATAATTTCCTCACTGGTTTCAGCATTCATCCTACTAAAACTTCAAACCAAAGCCAGATTTGGTTTGAAGTACATCCTTCGGAAAACATCCTGTCACTCTCAGACTCATCTGTCTCTTGTCGCTGCAAATGACTTAAACATGAAATGATGAATGTTTTCCTCAGGCGGCATCCTGACAAGCAAAAACTAGCCTTCTAAATGCATCGCCTCCAGGCATGTGTAGCATTACGTAATGAGGCTCTGCTGTGAAATCCATGAAGATGCCTTATCCTACATGCAAGCACAGTGTGCTGTCGGTGCAGCGTGACAGCTTCTTATGATACATTGAGCATAATGAGAAAAGTGAATAAACAATGAATGCTTCAGCATGTAGAATAGGAACACAAACACAGAAAAAAGACACAGCAGTTAGGGGTTTTTGACAGCTATGAAGACAGGGCTTTAAGGGCAGATACCATTGGGTTATTGATTATCATCCCTTGATTCCTGGCAGAGACTAAAACTGCTCACTGCCTTCCTTGCAGCTTCAGTATTTAAAGCAGACTAGTGAATGTATGCTACCAATGCGCTTTTATTACTGCTTGAGCTGCCAACCATTGACGTTTGATACTATTTTCATAGTGTACAATACCTATAGCAGCAGCAGCATCATCCTGAGTACAAGTTTCTGAGTATAAAAGGGATTCTGACAGTTACTTCAGGTGAGCTGCAAACTGCTGAAAAAGATGGTTTACAAGAAACTCTGCAGCAACACGCCTAAAAGAGAATTTTAAACACCAGCGAGCCACTGCCAAGATTTATTTCACAACCTGTCTCGCCCATCGTTCCACTAATCTGTTTACGCTGCTTTATAAAATGGACACTCATTAGACTGGGGATGCAACAACAGATTTAGAAGAGGGGGACAGGATCTGTCAAATCTGTCTTGCTTATATTGCGCTTTTTCCCCGCAGTAGATCCTGTGGTTTGAGTCTGATCAAAAGAAGCTTTTTTTTAATGTAAGTGGGCTGTCAGTGTGCTGGCAGAGAAATAATAAGCTATTTGTCAGTCGAGGAGGAATAACCACCAGCTCATTGGCAGCTTCCATTCCCAGCCCTGGAGAATCAGTTGTTTCCACCAACACCTGAACATCTTCGTAATTAGCCACCAATACTGCAAAACCCTCTAAATTCTAAAATCATACAGCAGCTATTGAGAATGAGGAGCCATAGGAGCAGGATAATTACCCTTGACATTAAAGGACCTCTCACAGGCCAAACTCTCACTGATGGGACTGAGAGCTCATTAAAATATTGGAGAGCTTACGTTTACTGGACTAGTGTTGCTAGAGGAGAAGGTCCTGACAGGGGTAAAAGGACCGGGAGAAAGAGCTCTGTGCTTGTTTCAACACAGACTTTCTGACACCCGACAGTGAAACCAGTGTGTCAGATACACACTGACGAGGACCAGTGAGCTGTCAGAAGCCTGTCTGTGGGTCATTGCCTGTCAGCCAATGTTTCTCCCTACATATAGGCCACATACTGCAGCACAAATAGAGTCAGCCTTACCTTTCTGTACACGATCATATTCGGGGAGTCCTCCTCTGGATCAGTGGTGCCCACCCCTGCCTGGTCTTTGGTCCCCTCCGCCATTTTTCACAACGTCCTGTCAAAGAACATATTGAACGACATGAATGCCCCAATCCAATATACAGTGGAACAACACAAAATAGGGTTTGATAAATATCACTTAGAATTTCTATTTCCCCTGGAAACTGAAAATTCCCCCAGCCCTTTATTGTTATGACATTCAGCCGTCAAAATGTATGCTACTGTCTTGGAAAGCAGACGCCTGTCGCAGTACAGAGAGATAAGAGAGCTCAGGTAGGCTGATGTAAGGTGAATACTAACTAAGATACAAAGTCAAACCCGAAGCATCAAATACCCCAGTGGTTCTATATACTAAAAACAATCACCAAGGGCTTCATGAAGGAGTATAGGAAGCTTAACTACTGTAATTGACAAGATTTGAATAAGAAAATATTTTAGCTGTCACACCTGAACACTTGAAATTAAATGTCAAAAACTAGTTAGCATAAGCAGCGAGGACAAAACAGTCGCCAAATAGCTTAAACTCGGCTGCTTAAATGTGGTATTGACACAGTTCCAACAGGCAGTGTTGGCTAAAAGGAGTGGATACACCGCTTAAATAGTAAAATTAAAGCTTGGGTTAAACAGTTTTGGTGTTACGCTAAAAGTGGTTGGACAAACTGATGAAATAAGTGTAAGTAAAAGTGGCAGAAGAAGTTGAAATGTTGTGAAAAGCAAGCGGACAATTGTAGAAATAAAGTGCTAACAATAATTTCCTGAACTAGCAGTTATGTTGCAAAAGCTAACAAAACAAATTTTGGTGTAATAAGTTAATATTTAGGGATATAGATAATTGCCATAGCTTAACTTATTTTCATAAATGCATTAATCGATAGCTTAGAGTGTGAAACAGAATGCTGAGCTCTTTATAAAGTCTATTAACATTAGGAATAGTAAGCTAGGTACGGTGATGGTTGTCGGTTGAAATTCTTGCAACCCCACATGATAGTGCTCCCAATGTTACCTCAGTTTGACTGCAGTAGTATGTACAGATTATTCCATCAGTATCCCCTACAATCAATGCAAGTGAGTACTAAAATAGAATCCAATTTAAAATCATTTCAGCTGAAGCTCTGAGTAATTAGCTTCAGCGTGTGATATTCATATTTTCCTACAGAGTTCATCACCCTCATGTGCCTTGAATGGCTACAGCGTACTACCTGAAGTTTTGTCATTGGGGCTTTTCACAGAAAAGCTCTTTCAGCCAAGAGCATAAAAACCTAACCAAACTTTAAATATTTCACAAAGTTAACTGTGAACTTAGGTCTAAGTATCACAACTGGGCTATTTGGATCAGTTTTGTAAAAGATCATATTAAAGGTTAGCATATTATGTCAGTGTTAAAATCAGGGTTCATGGACAGTTTGACCTTTATGCTATCGTAGCAGGCAGAATTCTTAAAGGCAAGAAAGGAGTGTTTCTACAGTCACTTAATGTTAAAATAAACTTCTGTGTTACACAGATGAACACTCACTGAGGTGTTGCTGAGATTTAACTGTGGTCAACGCGAACTCTGTAGTTGTTTTATGCTTAGCATAGTGATTATTGATGACTCTTCTGGGATCAGTCAACTAATGTTAACTTTTGATCTGATAACATTCCCCACATTAACCCTGCAGGCGTCCTCCTTTCATTGAGAGCTGCTGTTTACTGATTTATTTACAACCTCTACAGAGTCGCCACGTCTAAGTTCAGCCTGTCTCCCCCCTCCCTCCCTCCTTCTCCCTCATGAGAATGAATTCTGCTTAACTAAGGATTTTCATAGCCGGCGCTGACCACTGAACCTCCTTAGCCCCAAATACCCTTTGCCAATGAAGTTTCCTGTGTACATAAAAAATGGTTAATCCATTTGTTAGTTCTACTATTTTCAGAGGAAGAGGGGTAAGGAAGTAAATTACTCAGTTTAACACATTCATACTTTTTTATAATTTATAAACGCAAAAAAATGAACAGCTCACTTGGACCCACTCACTCTCACTACAGCTATCTGTCTTAAAAGAAGAAATGTGAGGCTGTTGTTGATGAGCAGTGCATGTTAGGCACAATATAAAACCTTCATAAATAAACTGAACTTGTAACACACGACATCTTGCAAAGGGCCAGCTGCTAGAGGGGGATTTGAAGTAGGTCTTAGTTGAATTATGTAACTGAAGCAGTTTACTATTACAAGTCTGATCATCTGCAGAAAATAGCACCAGTAGAGAAAAATATAATGTTAAAATGCAGCGTGCAACCAGCACAAAAGCAAATGCACAAGGTGGTTTTTGTGACTTTTGTTGAACACTACTACACCACGGAGCATAGTGATGCGCATGATTGAATAAGTAATCATCCGCTCTCGCCTCAGTGTTTGTTATTGCCATCAGAAGTGCGGAGTGCAGTGCTCCCCATTGGCTAACACATCTGTGCTCTTTCTCAGAGTCTGAACACATTAGACAGCTAATCTTTGCGTCCTCCTCAAGGGCCGTATAGGAAGGCAGGCAGGCAGTATGGATTACATAGCACCTTACTAACAGGGATGTGGCAAAAGGTCCCAGGTTGACAGTGAGCTGTAATTCTAGAGAACAACTTCCTCCAAGTTGAGCTGCTCAAGCATGCAAATCAAACTCCACAGAGGGCCCCGTCCAAGATGTGAACTGAAAGCTTGTGTCAGAGTGAAACGGGTGAAATACACACTGTATACACACTGTGTTGCAGAAAGTCAGCCAGAAAGGACCAACATGCCCACTTGTAAAGTACATGTGTGTTTCTATTCCCATGCACAAACACAAGTCCAAGAACAAATCAAGCACCAATTTATGAGGGAACAAACACAAAGGCAGGACTTTGAAAACACACACACATACTCACAAAGCAAAGTCCCCTGCAGTGACTCAAATAAACAGACCAATAGACACCCAGTCATCTGAATTAAACTGGCCGAGAGTTCACACACAAGCATGCACAGAAGAAGCCCGGTGCACCCAGAGCAATACCGACTGTGAGTTCAGTCACAGCAGGCGAGCAGCCCGATGCAATGCAACATCTGTGACACCTGACAGCTGCAATCATTGGAGCTTGTATTACCTTAGAAACACAAAAATGCCTGGTCCACTCTCTGCACTCCCCCCGGTCGGCTCCCCCTTAGCAACAAGCAGTAGGCAGGTTCATGGTATTATTAGCAGAGGGATAGAGTAGGGGATGAAGAAGACTGGGTAATGAAAGCAGTGAAGCAGTGAGGGAGAGAGTGAAATATAAAAAAAGAGAGAGAGAGAGAGAGAGAAAGAGAGAGAGAAGCTGGCTGGTCTCTGCAGTAGTCCTCTATTCCTCCTCCTTCTCCTCCTCTTCTTCTTCTTCTCTCTTCACCAGTTCTGCCTTGGCCCGGCAGTTCAGGAGATCCTCACATGTGTGCACCTCGTTCATCCCTCCTCCCTCTCTCCCTCCGTCTGCATGTGCTCGAGTGGAAGCGCAAGCGAAAGAGTGAAAGTGTGTGTGAGAGAGAGTGAGAGAGAGGGGCAGAGAGAGAGAGATGCTGTGCAGTGGAGAGGGGCAGATCAAGTTGAAAAAAAGGGGGAGGGATAAAGGAATTAGAGAGAGTATAAAGAGGAAAACAGAGGGAGAGATAGAGAGTGTGTGTTTGTGTGTCAGTGAGAGAGAAAGGGGGGGGGAGAGAGAGGATGCAGAGAGAAGAGGAAATGATGATAGAGGGATGCACACTGCAGCAGCGCCCACCGATGCTGAAAATAAGAAACATTTCATTAGAGGATATTGAAATGCTAATACAAAAACAAGTTACTGTTCCTGAACACACAGACACACGCAGGCTATAAATACATAATCCAGAGTGTTTGAGCAAACAGCCTCAGAGATAATGATTTTCTATTCCCATTCAAAAGAGCGTGTGAGGCTGTTATCTTCTGCAGGCTATGATCCAAAGTAAGATATCCGCAACTTTTATTTCTAATCTTTAAGCTTTCACCTCATCATATTCAGAAAAAGAAAATCCTGTTAGTGCTTGAAAAATGGCAAACACGCATTGTGTTTCTGTCCCCGCTCTTGCATGTTCTCCCTCTCCGTCGTTCCTTTCCCTCTTCATTGAAACTCTGGAATCATTCATGCTTAAATGGCAACCAGAACGAATGAACATTTTTTTTTTTTCCTTCCATTCCATAAATGAGATCCCACAAGCCCCCGAGGAAGATACTCCAGAAATACACGGCTTCAGCCAATTTGTGAATACATGCATGGAGAGTGAACACACAGAGAGACACACACACATACACACACACACACACACACACACACACACACACACACACACACACACACACACACAGATGTTTGTGTTGGCAGAACCAGTTCACCAGTTATCAAGGAAGTCTCTTGCTTTCTCATTTCTTCACTGTGTTCCCTCTCTCTTTCAGACGACGCGTGTTGTTATCTAAGCAAAGGTCCTGACTCTGTAAAGGCCCTCACTGCTTTTGAAAATATCTGAGGCGCTTCAAATATTCCTCACCAACATAAAATACCTCAAATGAATGAGTTTGTTTTTTTAAAGTCAAGATAAACACATTGAAGAGCAAAAATCTTGTTGTTGGAAAGTTCAGAAAATTTGAACTCAATTTAAACCTGCTGATCTCTTTTAATGTGGTAACCAAGGGAGACCGAGGTCATGCACACGACTGAGTGGTGGTGGGCCTATTACATCATATATTTGACCGTCAGCCCTAAATGCTTACGCCGTACATTTCTCTAATGAGTTTCTATTTCTACAGCACAAGAGCAAAACTGTATATTACAACCCCCCCACGAAAGTGTGACCAACACGTTCACTTAACATTTACCGTTTAAGATGAACCCACCCATCCCCCCTGATTACAACAAACCACACACTTGACCCACACTGCACTGACCTGATCAGCATATCTTCCCATGAGCAGCTCTGGCATTAAGGAGTGATCATTAACAAGGTGACAGGCAGACTGTCACTTCTCTAATCTGCTATAAGAGGGGCAGCCCTCCTGTAATCTGCATTAATGCTGAATTATGCCAGAGAGCCCTACTGACCACACACACCACACAGGCTTGTATTCAAAGTGATTTTTAAAGAGCAGTGTAGGCTATGAAGATGTTGCATCTCAACATGTGTTGATGCAGAGAGGATACACATTATTTATGGGAAAATGATCTGAAGGACAAGCTCACAATTTTTCTGTTTACACAAATGTTCACATGCTCATTTGACTTTGGGAGGGACATTGCAGTTTCACCATACTGGACATCTCCATCTTACTCTGTGTGACACATCTGAGGTTCAGCCAAAGCTAGCCTGGGTTTCACAAAATCAGTAAGTGATATTAGTATTTTTTATGTTTTACAAGAAGAATTTTCCTATTTTGAGCCATGCAGCCTGTTTTGTACCTATAGCATTGTTGGTCAGACAATAGCTGAAAAAGCTCAATAACCCGTTTGATTGATTGCCATGAAACTAGTGAGAGATGGCCTCCTCCTTAGAGGAGCGCCTTCAGTTCCTCTGTTTCTGGTGAGGCTCAGCTAAAGTGTAAATAAAAAGTTACCTCGCAGCTTCACTCTGGCTTACTCATGTCAGCAGCAAAAGCCTGAAAAAGTAACACATTTTCCATTAAGGAGTCATGAGTTCATCATGCATATATGAATAAAATGAATATAGAAATAAAATTAAAACTAAAAATGCAAGTGACTGTTTGTTCAGCATATCAATACTTTTTGGTTATAACGACAAAATTCATGCAGAAAATGGAAGCACTAATTGGCTGTCGAGAAACGCACCGCATCAAGCAGATTTAAAATCGAAAGTTATGATTAAGAAAAGATTGTTGCACTTGCATTAGTTATTTACTAGAGTGTAATAAATCGTATTCAGGTTACAGTTGATGGGAGGAGGAATGCATTGTGCTCCAACTGCTCCGTTATCCCCTATGGTTATCCCTGCATACACCTGAAAAGCCAGCTGATGTGTGAATTGGTTAATACTTTCCTGACTACAAACATAAACAGGAACACTTAAGTCTTAAGCTCGAAGTAGCCTAGTTTTATTGTTTTGAAGAATAATGGCATGAAGAAATCATTATGCATTTCTCCACTGATAGTTACAAAGTTTAACGAACAGGACAAAAGTGCAAAACTGGAAATGATTTATTTTATAACAAAAAGATAAAAGGGCAGTGTTGGCAAAATAGACAAAATACGGCTTTTTTTCCTGAAAAAAATCCAACAAAAAAAAAATCACAAACAAAATCCACAGGGAGAGGCCACAAGGAGTAAATGAATACATGAACGCGGTAAGGTTTGCAGAAAGGAGGGAACACAGACTAGCACAAAGTAATGAAACACTGGTTTGACAGACAAGACAAAGGTGATGAACTGATTGGGGCAATCATGACAGAGGGAAAACAGACAGACGGGAAGAAATAGACAAGAAACACTGGCGACAAGAACTACAAAATAAAACAGGAAACACTAAAGGTTAAACATGGAAGTAATACAATCAAATACACACAAGGGAAACGAGCAACACGCGAGAAGAACAAAATAAAACAGAAAATTATATGAAAGCACTGAAATAAACAAAATCGTTTTGTAGTGTAGCTTTAAGTCTGCAAGCTGTACTCTGGTATTTGGCTCCTTAATCATCCCTGTCTTCACCCTGGCATCTCTCAGGTTATCTTCATCCATCACTCTGTCTGATCCTGGCTCTGTTTCTGTCAGGTTGACTTCTTCATGTAATCATGCCTAAGTGGAAAAACAGCAGCTCAATGTTAATCACAACACAACAGCAGGGGCAGACACCTCCTGCCAGGCCACTGGTGTCCATTTACTCTGAAATGCTGATGTTACTGGTTGGAATATTATATCTGCCATGTTCAAAAAACACTCAGTGAGTCGAGGTGTATTTCAACAAAATATCTTTAATAGATATAAACTTTTTTTTTGTACACATCACAGCTCAATGGAAACAGATTCACATGCTGTCACACATGTTAAGAATGAAGGTGCAGGGGGTGATCTGCTGTGCTAGATGCCAGGGTCTCATTGGTCTGACTCTAGCTTGTGGTTTCTGTCCTGTCTTTTCCCATGTTTCTCTCTCATATTGATCCTCTCCACTAGATCCGAGCCCGTTAGCAGAAATACATCAGAAGTTATCTTAAAAAATAAGAATGAAGGTGCAAATTCTGATGAATATCAAATTCTCCGTATATACAGTCGCACAGGCTCCAAGTACAAAAGGAAACGGTAATGAGGCTTAAATAAGGTTTTCATCTTGAAATATACACAGCAAATTTCCAGTTGGGCTTTATGAGCAGATTTACAGAAAAACTCTGTGGCTGGAATTTCCGGTTTCACACACTACCTTACTTTCATATAACAAACAGTACCGATATAATCTATGGAGAGAGTTTAGGATCAGATAAGGCCTCACAGCATGCCATGGGTGGAGAAGAGGGGGGGGGGGGGGGGGTCAGTTCCATGTAACATTTTACATGTTGTCAAAACTAGGTTGGGCTGTCAGTCAATCCTACACTGGAAACAGACTGTTAATTATTATTCTGGAACAAGAGCTAGCTTTCTGCTGTTGAAAGCTTTGTTTGCATTTAAAGGATAAACATATTCTCTCACACAAGGGGGTTGATCTTTATAAGTATATTTCTCAATGCATCTGCAGTCTTTTTTTTTCTCCACCATTACCTTCATCATAAATACTCTTTATAATATACCAAGGGGCAAAAGTGAGAAAATAAATGCTAACATCAGATATTTACAATAATGCAGTGAATGCTCAGGCTCCATCCGTATGGCACCAATATTGTTCTATTTTTTTTTCACAATATATAATCTTTTCATCAGCTTGTAACCAGAAGTCCTTTTTTAAGACTCACTTGCTTTTAACCCATAAGAAATTATACTTTGAAATCACGTGTACAATCTTATTACATAGGTTCTTCAGACAGACAACACAGTGTTTTATTTTAAGTTATGTGCTACACAAAGGGTCCATCTGTCTGCGTGTACCAACACAATCTGCTATGAGAAAAAAAGCACAGTGTCCTATGGAGGATGACATCATCTCAGGTAGCTTATTTTCATTTGATTAGAAAAAGAAGGAATATTTTTTTTCCTCTGCATTGGGATTATTGATGAATGTTTAAAGAAAAGTTAATAAACAACACAGTGTCACTCAGTTCTTAAAAAAGTGTCTACCTCTTTAATAGGCATCACAGGACTGTTTTCACCATCTCTCGCATGGGACGAACACAATTCAATTTGTGTTGGAGGCTTTTAATTGTAAATCTGTTCTCTTGTAATAAGGTTAGCCGGGGAGATAAATGGGAACAATAACTTTGAATCCCTTTACGTTGGTTTCAACATCTTGCTCTCTCTGACATGCAGGGATCCCAACAACCCGCTGAATTAGACACTTTTTATTTTGTGAAATGTAAGGAAGGGAGTGCATGCTGATTTAAACACAGTCGCACCCTACTCTTTGTCTTTTATTACCCTTGTTGTGTTTTGTTTCATGGTGATCAAACCACAGGTCGACGAGGCTGAAGGAGGACGATGC